TAGATTTTTTATTTTTTCATTTGACAGAGAGAGACACAGCGAGAGAGGGAACACAAGCAGGGGGAGTGGGAGAGGGAGAAGCAGGCTTCCCGCGGAGCAGGGAGCCCGATGCGGGGCTCGATCCCAGGACCCTGGGATCATGACCTGAGCCGAAGGCAGACGCTCAACTGACTGAGCCACCCAGGCGCCCCTGGGCTTACTTTTTAATTGGATTGTTTACCTATTTTTAAGAGTTCTTTGTATATTTTGGATAACAGCCCTTTGTCAGATGTGGCTTTTGCAAATATTTTTTTCCAGTCTTTTTTCTCTTGACATTGTCTTTCACAGAGCATAAGTATTTAATTTTAATGAACTCCAGCTTATCAATTATTTCTTTCATGGATCGTGCCTTTGGTGTTGTATCTAAAAAGTTACCACCATGTCCAAGGTCACCTAAGTTTTCTCCTGTGTTACCTTCTAGGAGTTTTATAGTTGCATGTTTTACATTTAGCTCTCTGGATCTATTTTGAGTTAATTTTTGTGAAGGGTGGAAGGTCTGTGTCTAGATTTTTTTTTTTTTTTTGTATGTGACTGTTCAGTTGTTTCAGCACCATTTGTTGAAAAGACCATCTTTGCTCCATTCTTTCCGCCTTTATCAAAGATTGGTTGACTGTATTTATACCATTCTGGCTTCTCTATTCTGTTCCGTTTGTTTGCTTGTTTGTTTGTTTGTTTTTTAACAATACCACTGTCTTGACTACTGTGGCTATATACTAAGTCTTGAGGAGGGGTGGTGTCAGTCTTCTTTGTTCTTTTTTTTTTTTTTTAAGATTTATTTATTTATGTATTTGACAGAGAGGGGGGAGTGGGAGAGGAAGAAGCAGGCTCCCGGCTGAGTAGGGAGCCTGATGAGGGGCTCGATCCCAGGACCCTGGGATCATGATCTGAGCTGAAGGCAGCCCCTTAACTGACTGAGCCACCCAAGCACCCCTTTTTTGTTCTTTAATATTGTGTTGGCTGTCTTTTGCCTCTCCATATAAACTTTAGATCTGTTTGATGTTATCTACAAAATAACTTACGGGGATTTCAATTGGGATTTCATTGAAATCAATTGGTCAATGTGGGAAAAACCGACATTTTGATAATGCTGAGTCTTCCCATCCATGAACATGGAATATCTATTTATTTCATTCTTTCACTTTGTTCATCAGTTTTATAGTTTTCTTCAAGTAAATCTTTGTACATATTTTGTTATATATAAACATTTCATTTTAGGGGTGCTAATGATAATGGTATTGTGTTTTTAACTTCAAATTCTACTTGTTCATTGTGGAATATGGTAAAGGAATTGACTTTTGTACATTAGCCCCATATCCTTTAACTTTGCTATGATCACTTATTAGGTCCAGGAGGGGTTTTTTTGTCACTTCCTTCAGATTTTCTACATAAGCAATTATGCTCATTTTCAAACCAACAGTTTTTTTTTTCTTAAGATTTTATTTATTTATTTGAGAGAGAGAATGAGAGAGAGAGAGAGCATGAGAAGGGGGAGGGTCAGAGGGAGAAGCAGACTCCCCACTGAGCAGGGAGCCCGATGCGGGACTCGATCCCGGGACTCCAGGATCATGACCTGAGCCGAAGGCAGTCGCGTAACCAACTGAGCCACCCAGGCACCCAAACCAACAGTTTTATTCCTTCCTTCCCAATTTGTATATCTTTTATTTCCTTTCTTTGTCTATAGCGCATTAGCTGGTACTTCCAGTGCAGTGTTGAAAAGGAGTAGTGAGAGGGAGCATCCTTGCCATCTTTCTCTTAATGGGAAAGCTTTCCCTCTTCCATCTTAGTGGGAAAGCTTCATGTTTCTCACCATTAGGTATAATGTTAGGTATAGGTTTTTTGTAGATCTTTTTTTTTTTTTTTTAAATCAGGTTGAGGAAGTTCTTTTCTCTTCCCAGTTTACAATTTTTTTTTTTTAAATCAAGAATGAGTGTTCAGGGGGCGCCTGAGTGGCTCAGTTGGTTAAGAATGAGTGTTCAGGATTTTATTTTATTTATTTTATTTTTTTTTAAAGGTTTTATTTATTTATTCATGAGAGAGAGAGGCAGAGTGAGAAGCAGGCTCCCAAGGATCAGGGAGCCCGATGCGGGACTCGATCCCAGGACCCTGAGATCATGACCTAAGCCGAAGGCAGACGCTTAACCATCTGAGCCACCCAGGCACCCCGAGTGTTCAGGATTTTAAATGCTTTTTCTGCCTCTGTTGATATGTTCATGTGATTTTTCCTTTAGCCTGTTGTGATGGATTACAATGATTTTCAAATGTTGACCAGTCTTGCATGCCTGGGGAAAAAATCCCAATTGGTTGTGGTATGTAATTCTTTTTAAACATTGTTGGATTCAATTTCCTAATATTTTATTGAGGATTTTGCATCTATATTTATGAGAGATAGTAGTCTATACTTTGTTTTCTTGTAATGTCTTTGGCTTTGGTATTAGGGTAATGCTGGCCTCATATGATGAAATACTCCCTCTTCTGTCTTCTGAGATTGTAGAGAACTAGTAGAATTTCTTCCTAATATGTTTGGTAGGATTCACCAGTGAACTATTCTGGGTCTGGTTCTTCTGTTTCAGAGAGTTTTTAATTATTGATTCAATTTCTTTGATACGAACCTATTCAGATTATTTCTTTTGTGAGTTTTAGCAGTTGTGTCTTTCAAGGCATTATTTCCATTTCATCTAGGTTATCAAATATGTGGGCATAAAGTTGTTCATGGTATTCCTTTATTATCCTTTTAATGTCCTTGGGATCTAAAGTGATGTTCCCATTTACATTTCTGTTATTAGTAATAATTCCTTTCCTTTTTTAGCCTGGCTAGAGGTTTATCAATATTATTGATCTTTTTAAAGAACCAGCTTTTTGGTTGCATTGATTTTTCTCTATTGATTACCTGTTTTCAATTCATTGATTTCTGCTCTAATTTTTCTTTTCTAATGCTTGCTTTGGATTTAATTTGCTCATTTTCTAGTTTCCTAAGGTGGAAACTTAGATGATAAATTTTAGATCTTTCTTCCTTTCTAATATATGTATTCAATGCTAAATTTCCTTCCAAGCACTGCTTTTATTGCATCCCATGAATTCTGGTGTTATCATTTAATTCAAAATATTTTATTATTATGTTAATCACCATACATCATTAGTTTTTGATGTAGTGTTCCATGATTCATTGTTTGCATTTAAAATTTCTTTTGAGATTTCTTTTTTGACCCACATATTATTTGAAGTATGTTGTTTAATCTCCACATATTTGGGGATTTCCAGTTGTCTTTATCTTACTGATTTCTAATTTAATTACATTGTGGTCTGAGGGTAGATATTGTATGATTTCTATTCTTTAAAAATTTTCAGTGTTTAGACAAAAGCAGAGAGGGAGACAAACCATAAGAGACTCTAAATCTCAGGAAACAAACTGAGGGTTCCTGGAGTGAAAGGAGAGTGGGAAGGATGGGGTGGCTGGGTGATGGACATTGGGAAGGGTATTACTATGGTGAGCGCTGTGAATTGTGTAAGACTGATGAATCACAGACCTGTACCCCTGAAACAAATAATACATTATATGTTAATTAAAAAAATTTTTTTTCAGTGTTTTAGGACCAGAATGTGGTCTGTCTTGGTGAATGTTCCATGTGAGATTGAGAAGAATGTGTATTCTGTTGTTTCTGGATAAAGTAGTCTACAGATTATTGATTATATTCAGTTGATTGATGGTGCTTTGAATTCAACAACATCTTTACTGATTTTTCTCCCTGCTGTATCTGTCCCTTTCTGAGAGAGGGATGTTGAAGTCTCCAACTATGATAGTGGTTTTATGTATTTCTCTTTGCAGGTTTATTAAAGTCTTTACCTCCAGTAGTTTGATGCTCTGTTAGGTGCATACACATCAAGGATTATTATTTCTTTTTTAAAATTGACCCTTTTATCATTATATAAACCCTTTTTAATCCTCAATAACTTGTCTTGCTTTGAAGTCTGCTCTGTCTGAAATTAATATAGCTACTCCTGCTTTCTTTTGATTAGTGTTGGCATGGTATATTTTTCTCTATCCATTTACTTTTAATTTATGTGTCTTTATATTTAAAGTGTGTTTACTATAGACAACACATATTTGGGTCTTCTTTTTTGATCAGATCTGACAATCCTTTTTATTTAAAAAAAATTTTGAGAGAGATAGTGTGAGTGGGGGGATCTCAACCAGAGTCCCCACTGAATGCAGAGCCCACTGTGGGGCTCGATCCCATGACCCATGGTCATGACCTGAACCAAAACCAAGAGTCAGATGCTCAAACAACTGAACCACCCAGGCACCCCAAAATCTGTCTTTTAATTGGTGCATTTGGACCACTGATGCTCAAAGTGATTATTGATATATTTATATCTACCGTATTTGTTACTATTTTCAATTCTTTGCCCTTTTTCTTATTTTTCTTTTTTTGGCTTTAATTGGGCATTTTATATGATTACATTTTCTCCTTTTTATATCATACTTTTTTTTTTTTTTTACCTTTTTTAGTGGTTCCCATAAAGTTTTCAATATAAACTTAAAACTAATCCAGGTTCGCTTTCAAGTAATATTATGCCACTTTATGGGTAGTGAGAATACTTTATAATAACAAAATAATCCTAATTCCTCCCTTTTGTCCCTTCATTGTTATCATTCATTTCATTTGTACATAAGCACACACACACAAAGTACACAGAGTTGAATATAGTGTTTCTATTATTTTGAACAAAGTTATCTATTAGATCAGTTAAAAATAAGAAAAATGAAGGTTTTAATTTTACCTTCACTATTCCCTCTCTGATGCTCTTCCTTTCCTCTGGATCAGAGTGTTTCAAACCTATATCATTTTTACTCTCTAAAGAACTTCTAATATTTTTTGCAAGACAGCTCTCCTGCCAAAAATTCCTTCAATTTTTGTTTTGAGAAAATCTTTGTCTTCACTTTTGAAGACCACATTCTGGGTCCTAAAACACACTGAAAATTTTTACAGAATAGAAATCATACCGTTCCTGCTTACTTTGAGCTATGCTACAGAATTCTAGGTTGGTGGTTTTCCCCCCTCTCAACACTTAAATATTTACTCCTCCCTCCTTCCTTCCATGGTTTCTGCAAAGTTGGATGTTATTCTTAAATTACTTTTCACCTATAAGGTAGGTAGCAATTTGTCAGTTGCTGTTCAGGTTTTCCTGCCCTGGCACTGATTCCCTTGGAGGTAACTGCTCCAGTAGGTTGTAGTTTTCTAGCTTTGCCTGTCTCTCCCATTTGGGGGACAGTGGCTTGCACTTTGACCTCACTTCCCTTATGGATCTAGGAAGAGCTGTTTGTTCAGCTTTTTCTTGCTATTAGGACAGAGTAGCAACTTCTAAACTTCTTACATGCAGGACTGGAAACTGGAAGTCTAGAATTCTTAGTTCAAAGTAATTTTTTTTTGTCTTCATATATTCTTGTCAAAGAGAGGCCTGATGCCAGTAGTGTTAACTTGTATATAATCTGTTTTCCTTAGCCTCTGGCAGTTTTTAGGATTTGTTCTGTAGTGTTGGTACTTTGAAATTTTCCTTTTAAAACATCATCTGGTTCTATACTGACTGGGGATGAACCCTTTAGAACCCAAGACTCCAGACCAAAGGAATCTCTTCCACTCGATTTGTCTCTCTACATTTTCTCATTTATCTCCTCTCTGTTAGGTAGATGTTGTAATTTTTGGACCTGTCTCAGTACCTTTTAGCTTCATACTTTCTCCATCTGTACTTCTAGGGTGAGTAATGGGAGACACCTTGTGACCATCCTGCTGACAGCTTTGCTCTTCAGCTGTATCCCTTGACTATTTGGCCTGATTTTTTTTTTTTTTTTAATTTAATGGCTCTGATATCCTCTTCTATGCCTCTGGGATATTTAATAGAGTTCTTTATTCTGTGGACTTTTAAAAAATTTTTTGTTGTTTGGGCCTTTCATATTATTGGCTTTCTTGAAATATTTCAGTGATTCATGGTTGCAGTTTATTTAGTTGCTCACTTTTGTGTTGCAGTTTCTTTTTGTGGATTTTTTAAGATTTTATTTATTTGAGAGAGAGAAAGTACACAGGTGGGGGGGGGAGCGAGGAGCAGAGGGAGAGAGACAAGCAGACTCCACGCTGAGCATGGAGCCTGATGCAGGGCTTCCTATCAGGACCCTGAAATCATGACCTGAGCCAAAACTGAGTGGGATGCTTAATCGACTGAGCCACCTATCGGTGGATGGGAGCAGTAAGCTGTGCTGCCCGGTGAATATATGCCAGTATTTTGATTCTGAGTATAGGGTGCTCTTCTCTTGAGGGTAGGCAAGTACCTGGGGGGCACTGCCCTGCTTCTCCAGTTGCAATAGCTTCACTTACTGTTGTGGAATAGGTTGGGTATAGACATCCCTTCTACCTACCACTTGGCCCATGGTTGGGGAATGGGACTTATTTAGCTATTCTGCATCAACTCCCTAATGAATCACCCTGCCCAGTACCCATCAGTACCCTCCTACTCTCTGCATCTGTTGATTCTAGGTTCTAACCCATTCCTCTGTTTGTAGTAGTCTTTACTGGTTTTGTGTTGTAGTTTCCTCATTTTATTTGCCTATAGCTTTGATTCTATCTGCCCTTTTTTTTTAAAGAAATTACACAGTTTTATAATTTTCTTTGTTGCTTCTTAATCCACTGAAAGTAATTTCATAATATAATATTTTTAGGCATCTTCTTTGTTACTTTCTGCGGTTTCTACTTCTTTAGACAACAATGGCTTGATCTTTAGTAACAAACCTTCACTTGTTGAAGTATGAAGGAAAGCTCATACCACGAAGGTCCCAAACTGAGTGGTCTGTGCTTATAAATTTCACTGATAACTGCTGGCAGATTTGCAGCTATCTGGTCACTTAGCGTATGCAGTGTTTCTGTTTTGGTCTCGAGAAAGTTCTCCCTTTCTTCATCTACTTTAATTTCATGTCCAATTTTAAATAATTCAAGCATTTGGGGGATGTCACGGCCAATGGAATTTCTAGTTAGTTTTGGAAATCTTTTTTTCAGCTTTTTCTTTAATGGTTTAAGCTCGGGCATTATTTCTGGAACAGCTACATAAAAGTCTGATTGAATTTCATCATCCAAAATCTTCTGAATTAGATTAATTCCCCCTGCAAATACAGCTCCATTTTCTTCTGCTATTTTAATCTCTGCTGCATTCCCTGTAAATACAGCAACTTTATTGATTTCTGAAACGAATGGGTATGGAAAACAAAGAACACTGGCAAATGGCTCCACTTTTTTCTTCTTCCCCAGTGCCATATCCAGTGTCAAATCAAGATAAACACCTTACTTTAGATTAGTAAACTCTAGAGTTTAAAATTTCTTAAGTAACTGAATAGCTTTCTCCACCTCCTATATCTGCCTTGGATATAAATGCTTTAAGTAGACATCATCCTCAGGTTCACCTTCCATAAAGCAGTAGGACTTTATTTTTCCTATTTCATCTTTTTTCTCATCTGATGCTTTGTCTTTCACACCTTTTTTTGTTTTCTTTGCAGGCTTTGTAGCAGCAGCAAAATGTCTGCTGGGCACCTGAACATGTAGAACAAGGATGTGTCTGATAAGCCATCTTGGAAAGACTATACTTTTGATGATGTATCAAAACTCTCCTGAGGCACCTTATGGCGGTCACCATGTTGACCATTCCCGATTCCATTTGCTTTTGATGTTTCTGGCATTTTTCAAAATGTCTACTTTTGCTAGCTCCTATTTTTCAGTACTGTAGCAGATTTATTTTTCTTCTGCTTTAGCACTTTATATAGGATTTAGCATTAAGAGGGATAGTAGGTCGTTCTGTCCTGTCTGCCATCTTGATCCAGTCTTACTACCACTTTAAGAAAACAGGACAAAAACTCTTTTGTAGCCTTTCTTTTATTCCAGTTAATTTCCTTGAAAAGAACTAGTGTTACAGTGGCTCCTGGGATGGTCCTCTAGTTATAAAATACATTGTACTATTATCATTCACATAAAGTATTATTTACAAGGAACTATTGAAATATCACCTCTTTGCTCTCTAACATGCACAACTTTGTGATGCACCTATTGATACTAAAAAGCAGTTCCTAGAATACTCTTAGGGATCATGAAATAGTTTTAGTGATAATTGATTTTATTTGCATTGAAAGATTAGGGATAATAGAACTATCTTAAAAACTACTCAGTTGATCAGGATCATAGTGGTGTAAAATGTTTTTTGTCCTCCTTTTTTAACAATGAATTAGACATGCATCCGTGAACAAAAGCACTGTTTTGGGAGTTGTGGGAATGAGCACCATCTGCCAAGGGACCTGGGAGGAGTCTTGCCCACCTGCACATCCAGTAAGAGGCATACAGACCTTGTTACAGGCTGCAGAACCAGCAAAACTGCCTCAAACCTTCTTGCTGCAATAAGGGACAAACCTGGAGAGTGCTGTCCTAGGTGGATATGCATGGATGACAATCCACAAAAATCCAGACTTCACAAGAGGAGATTCCAGCACACCATGGGAGCAAAAAACAGAAGTTTGGTTCAGTTAGGACTATAAGAGGAACTTTCACAAAGCAACACTACACAGGGCTGAACTATCCAGCAGTGGTAACTCCTCTCATGGGGGAAAGGAAAGCAGTGAGTGCCTGGCTACCCCAGTGGTGAGGGACCTTTATAACTGGGGCTAGGGTGGTCTGGGAAAGAGTGAAATAATATCGAAGGGCATTAAAGGAATGTAGTTCCTGCTGACAGTGCTCAGGAAGTCTGCCCACAAGCCTCTGGGCATGATTCACCCAAGTTTCACCCCACTGGGTCAGGTCCACGGGCACCTCCAATACCCCAAGGGCTAAACCAACATCTCCACCGACCCTGCAGTCAGCTCCTTGTACATGCTGGAGTGCAAATGCAACGGTAAGTTGAGTAAACACCATCAGAAAGACCAGGTTAGGTGGGCTAGAGAGAAACCACAAACTTGAGCTATAGCACCACCTTCTGGAAAATGAGAGGATTCCAGTGGGCACTGGTGAGTGGTAAGAACCAGGGAAGCCACAAAAGCTTAAGAATTCTTCCATAAGAGGGACAAGAAGAGTGTATGTATCCAGGTATATCTATACAAAAGCAGAGAAAACCCCAAATATAACAGCACCAATGAATAGTATACCCCATCTGAAGGCAACTGATAAAGATTTAAGGAGATGTCAGCTACTTCAAATGTGAAAGGAGCAAGCCAAAAAACAGGAACAGGAAAAATCAAGGGAACACATCATCACCAAAATAATTTTCCAACAACCATGCTCTCAAAAGTATGGAATTTTGCGATCTCCTGATAATTCAAAATAGCTGTTCTGAAGAAGCAACGAACTACAAGAAAACTCAGACAATTCAATGTAATCAGGGGGAAAAAAATACATGAGCAAAATGAGTTATTTACCCAAGGGATAAAAATCATAAGGAACCAAAAAGAAATTCTGAAGGTGAAAAATTCCATGAATAAAATGAAAAAAAAAAAAAAAAAAAAAAAGCAACAGAGAGCATCTGCAGCAGAATAAAAGCAAATGGAAGATAAAATAAGTGATTTAGAGGACAGGAATTCTGAAATAACACCGTGTAGAAAAAAAATGAATAAAAAAGAATGAAGAAAGCCTGTGTGATTAATAGGATTCCATCAAAAGAACAAATATTAGAATAACTGGGGTTCCAGAAGGAGAAGAGATGTAGAAGGTGGGCAGAAAATTAAAGAAATAATGGTCAAGAACTTCCCAAAGATGGGGAGAGATTTGGACATCCAAGTTCATGAAGCTAACAGGTCACCCTAGGATCTTAAAGCAAAAAGACCTTCTCTAAGACACATTATAATAAAACTGTTAAAAATCAAAGATAAAGAGAGAATCCTAAAAGCAGCCAGGGGAAAAAGCCTGTAACCTACAGAGAAACTCCTGTTAGGCTATGAGCAGATTTCTCAGCAGAACTATAGGTCAGGAAAGAGTGGAATCAAAGTGTTGAAAGAAAAAAATTACCAGCCAAGAATAATCTATCTGGCAAAGTTATACCTCAGGTATGAAGGAGAAGTATTTTCACACACAAAAACAGAGGGAGTTCGTCACCACTAGTCTAGCCTTGCAGTAAATGCTGAACGGAGTTCTTCAAGCTGAAAAGACACTAATCAGCAACATGAAGACACAGGAAAACATACTGGTGAAGATGTTGTATATGCAGTATATGTACATACAGTCAGAAAACTCTTAATTCTGTAATAGGGTGTTTGTTAACCACTTAACTATAGTATAAAGCTTAAAGGGGAAGAATATTAAAAATGATAGCTACTATAATTTGTTAATAAACATTATAGAGTAAATAATGACTTCAAAATATAGAAAGGAAAAGCAAAAGGATGAAGCTTTTTAGGCAATTGAAGTTCAGTTGCTATCAGCTTAAAATCCTATGAGATATTTAATGTAAGCCTCATGGTAACCACAAAGCAAAAACCTAGAATAGATTCACAAAAGAGACAGAAAGGGGGAAAGAGAACATACGACCATGAAAGGTCACCAATTTACAAAGGTACGCAGAAACAGAGGGAAAAAGAGAAAATGGAAATATGAAACAACTGGAAACCAATTAATAAGATGGCATTAGTAAGTCCTTACCTATCAATAATTCTAAATATAAATGGGTTGAATTCCCTAAAAAGGCAGAGTAGCTGGAAGGATTAAAAAAAACCCCAACTATATGCTGCCTACTAGAGACTCACTTCAGCTTGAAGGACAAAAAACCTCAAAGTTACAGGATAAATATTAGCATATAGAATCAGTTTGCATGTCTATACACTAATACTGAAACATCTCAAAAAACAAAGCTATCCCATTTACAATAAAATACTTAGGAATAAATCTAACCAAGGATGTGAAAGATTTGTACAATGAAAACTACAAGACTTTGATTAAAGACACTGAAGTCGCAAACAAATGGAGAGATATCCCATGCTCGTGGATCAGAAGAATTAAAATTGTTAAAATTCTATACTACCCAAAGCCATCTACAGATTGGACAAAAACCCTATCAAAATTCCAATGGCATTTTTCAAGAAATAGAATAATCCTAAAATTTGAGACCACAACTAGCCAAAGCAATCCAAAAAAAAGAAATAAACCAGAGGCATCTCACTTCTTGATTTCAAACTATACTACAAAGCTATAGTTAAAATAGTATGGTACTGACATAAGAACAGACACAGAGACCAGTGGAACAGAATAGAGAGCTCAGACATAAACCCTTGCATACACAGTCAACTACTATTTGACAAGGGAGCCAAGAATATTCAGTGGGAAAAGAAGTTCAACAAATAGTGTTGGGAAAACTGGATAACCAGAAGCAGAAAAATGAAACTGGACCCGTTATCTTACACCACTCACAAAAATTACTCAAAATGGATTGAAGTGTTAGAAGATCTGATACTGTAAAATTCATAGAAGAAAACATAGGGAAAAAGCTCCTTCAATTGTGCAATGATATTTTGGATATGACCCCAAAAGGACAGGCAACAGAGGCAAAAACCAACAAGTAGGACTACATCAAACTGAAAAGCTTCTGCACAGCAAACAAATAATAAAAAAAAAAAAAAAGGCAACCTATGGAATGGGAGACATTTGCAAATCATCTACCCAGTAAGAGGTTAATATTCAAAATACATAAAGAACTCATACAATAACAAAACAAAAAAAAAATCCAATTAAAAATGGGCATAGGAACTAAATAGACATTTTCCCAAAGACATATAAATGGCCAAAAGGTATATGAAAAGGTGCTCAACATCACTAATCATTAGGGAAATACAAATGAAAACCACAATGTGATACCACTTCATACCTTACTAGAATGGCTATCATCAAGAAGACAAGAGATAACAAATGTTGGTGGGGATGTGAGCATAAAGAAATGCTTGTACACTGTTGGTAGGAATGTAAATGGGTGGAGCCAATATGGAAAAAAATTATGGAGGTTCCTCAAAAATTAAAAATAGAACTACCATATCATCCAGCAATTCCTCTTCTGGATATATATCCAAAGGAAATGAACAAAGGATTTCAAAGAGATATTGCACTACTATGTTTACTGCAGCATTGTTCACAATAGCCAAGATATGGAAACAATCTAAGAGTCTATCTAAACAGATGAATGGATACAGAAATTATGGTACACACACACACAGCAATATTATTCAGCCATGAGAAAGAAGGAAATCCTGCCATTTGTGACAACATGGATGCATACTTGAAGGCATTAATACTAAGTGAGATAAGGGGCGCCTGGGTGGCTCAGTCGGTTAAGCGTCTGCCTTCGGCTCAGGTCATGATCCCAGGGTCCTGGGAGCGAGCCCCGCATCGGGCTCCCTGCTCAGCGGGGAGCCTGCTTCTCCCTCTCTGCTGCTCCCCCTGCTTGTGCTCTATCCCTCTCTCTCTCAGATAAATAATAAAAAAATCTTAAAAAAAAAAACAAAAAACTAAGTGAGATAAGTCAAACACAAATACTATATGGTATTACTTATATGTCAAATCTAAAAGAGCCACATTCATAAAAGCAGAGGGGCGCCTGGGTGGCTCAGTTGGTTAAGCAACTAGTTGACTCTTGGTTTCAGCTCCGGTCATGATCTCATGATCTCAGGGTTGTGAGATCAAGCCCTGCGTGGGGCTCCATGTGTAGCATGGACTCAGCTGGGACTCCCTCTCCCTCTCTGCCCCTACCCCCTGCTTGCTCTCTCTTTAAAATAAATAAATCTTTGAAAAAAAAAAAGCAGAGGATAGATTGGTGGTTATCAGAGGCTGCAGGGGTGGGGTAATTGGGGACATATTACTTAAAGATACAGACTTGGAGATCTAATGTACAGCGTAGTGATTACAAACAATACCATATTATAAATTTCAAAGTTGCTAAATGGTTAGATCTTAATTGTTCCCACCACAAAAAATTATAATTATGGGGCTGATAGAAGTATTAGCTAATAGTGTTTATATATATATACACACACACATGCTATACCTGTTTATATATTGTAATATATAAGTATTTCAAACACTGTGGACACCTTAAACTTACACAATCTTGTATTTTAATTATGTCTTTAAAAAAACCCAACAAACTACTCAGTTGACTTTAGGAGAAAAGGCCCAGCACTGCCCTTAGCTGCCTCATTTTAGAGGCCCTCCTGTAGCTGTGCCCCTGAGGGCAGAGACTACAGGGCCAACAGGATATCCCCACCTGGAGCCCATCTCATTCCTTTAAAGACCATGTTCAAGGTACCTGAGACAAATTTCCTGCCTGACCAGCTCCGCTTACAGGGCCTGCATGAGCCTCTTCACCCAGGTCCATCTTCCCTAAAATGCACCCCTAAATCTAAAGCGTGGCCAAGAGGTAGCTATTTTCCAGTAGTTCAAAATTTAGGCATGTAGGCTGAAGAGTCCACAAAAGTTCCTTTGAGGCCTGTCATTCACAGAACAGGTAGAAGAGGAGGAGAGGAATGGGCTAAGGGGTGGTTCTCCTCTGGCTGCTACACTTTGACATGGAATCCTGAAAATTCTCAAATCCAAGCTGTATGTACATGCTATGAACATAATTTAATAGCTTGTTTTTATAACAGTGAAACCTTTTGACCTACTGCTTCAGGGCCTGCAAATACTAGGGAAGGGCCTAGGAAGGAGAAAAGTAGTGATTTCTAAATGGGTTTCAGGTACAGCCCTAGCTAACAGAGATGCCACAAGGGAGCCTGCTCAGTTGTAATTAAGTCACAGCTACTGCCATCATCTTCAGCCAGTGGAAACTTACTTTGTAGGTTCCCAGAAGCCTTAATTGCTCTCTTTCTTAACAGAGTTCTTTTATGGTCTTTTAATCATGTAGCACCGTAGGCTCATCTGAATAAAAAACGGACTTGTTGATTGGCTAAGATCATAAAGGCAGTGTAGTATAGTGGTTAAGAGCACAGCTCTAAAATCAGGCTGCCTTGGTTTAGTGTGTAGAGAGTCACTTCTTAATGTCCCCAGGCCTAGTGATATGCTGGACCCGGCTTGCACCAGCTGAATGAGAGCCCATTATATGTGTATATTCCCAATTCCATGTTCAGTGACATCACATTGGTAGTTTGCTATTGGCCCTGTGGGAGGGGAAACTGGCTACAAATCAGGTCCACAGATATTGGTTCAAATTAGTTTCCGCTTTTGTAAATTAGTAATCCTTTATAATAGTTATAATAGTAATCCTTTATAATAGTTCCCACATTATAGGGAAGCTAGAATAAATAAGAATATGTGTGTCATATATAATCATTTAGCAAGTACTCAATAAATGCTACCAGTTATTAATACTACATGGACGGAATGTACAAAGGCCAGTTCTTTATAAGGCAGAGGAAACTTTGGAAACAAGAGATATATATTTCCATTAAGGATGAAGTGCTGATGCAAGATTTTTGAAAGTCACCTTCCCAATTCCACTTCTTTGAAACT